AATCAAATCTCCTACCTAAGTCAGATGTTAAAGGTGGCTCCCAAAGCTGGAGATTTTCCAGTGGTCTTTTGCACAAATCTGCTCAAATATTGTTTTTCTTTTTAAGGACATGGAAAGAAGGATGGCACCATCTTTACCAGATGGATCAGCTAAAGAGCTGTCAGGAACATATTCTCAGAACTCAGAGCAAGAAAATTATGTACATCAGAACAGAAAGCAGTTCTGAGAAGGGATCCAAGCCTTAGACTTTAACCTGCTTGTTTATATTTAGTTATTCTATAATTAAATACACAGATAATGAAATCCTCTTGCGTGCAAATAATTGGGACCTGAAATAAATTACTGTTTATCCAAATCTGCACACAGGCAAACAAGCTGATACAACCTTCATTAACGGCTGAATGTCCAAACAAATCTAAAGTAGTTGCATAATGTCAAAGCCTGATAACCATCTAACCTCAGAGCTCGAATGATTTTTTGGAACCTACCTGCAGCACTAAAAGTCACGTCAGGAACATTTTGACCTGTTGCTGCATTCAAATCACAATCCAAAGCTCTCCCGTTTGCTCAGTTAATGAGCTACTACCAAATGTGAAATTAAACCATCATCTGACCTTTGGACATTTCCCATTCCAGTCACAGGCAAATTTCCATGTGTAGGTGGCTTATGTATGTGGAATGCTCAAGCTTGTTTGGATACTCTTAAGCATGGCAATGGGTTTCCGCGTGTGTCAGGTACACAACAAATTAAAACAAGTCTATGCTAAGTTAACTGAGCCCACACCACATGCAAATGGATTCAACAATGAAGCCTGGGATTCTTGTTCCTGATCATTATCCAGTGATCCTTACTGGAAAGTCTGTAATTGGACAGGAATGGGCTCAACTGGGATGGGTTACAAAGCTGAAAAGTCCACTGCCCCTCACAGTTGATACTCAGATATGAAGAATGGCGACTTGGACTAAGTACCCAGACACAGAGAACATTAAGACCAAACCAGTCATTAAGTACTGGACAAAAACAACCCAAAATGTTGAACTTTGTTACATTGCGTACCACAAATTTCCCACTATATGAACGAATGAAAATTAGATGCAAAGAAAAATTACAAGTTAAAATAAGCATTTTCGCACTTTCTCCCGGATTTATTCTCCATAATAATAATTACAATCTTTACATTTGGTATACAGAATGTAATGTGTGTTTTGTGGTGAACACGGCAGCCACATGGCACAGCCATGTCCCACAAATAGCTATGAAGTGAATGCTCATTTTTTTCAATGATGTTACAGTTGGAATGTGGTTCACTTCATATCAATAATAATAATCGCAATTCTTACATTTGATACAGTTCCTTTCACAACGGAAGGACCTCTCAAAAAGCTTGGCAGGATTTACTGTAACTGTATTTTGTAGGAAATAAAAATTAGTGCAGTGCATTTGCTGAAGTTACAAAAATAATTTGATGAAGTTAGATTACAGTTGGGATTAAAATGGTCATATCAATAAATGCCTTCAAGCAAGTTGGCTTTTGTTCACTGATGTTGGAGGTGAGAGGGAAGGGGAAAACCAAGCCAACAAAATAAAACAAAGTTAATCCATTTTTAAATGTCTCTCACATCACACTTGACTGAGAGAGTAGACAGCTCATCTGCTCTCTGAGGTCTTCTTGATTTGAAACCCTGTTATACTGTATTTGCTGCCAAAAACAACATTGTGACAAAGGTGCGAACGTTTCAACGACATTTTGTGGGAGACAGAGACAGATGTGGGCAATGCGGCAAAAGTGAAATGAAACAGATATGAGGAATGAAGTAGAGTTGAGGATCAAAGCAAACGCCAAGATTGCACATCTCCTTCTACTGTCCTGTTGGTTATCAATTATTACATCCCTTCCTGTTATGGAATGATACAGCCATTTTCTCATTTACTGTAACAAAAAATGGAGAGGAGATTGCAACAGAACATTGAGAGGAGAATGTAACAGAACATGAAGAGGAGAATGTATCCTGATTTAAATCTTTGTGCATGACTGTGCACAAATTACTTGAACTAAATGTGCAGAGCAACACTTCAGCCCTTCTAACACTTCACTAATTGAAAAACGAGAAAAAAGAACTAGTTTAGCTGAACTGCTGCTTTAGATCAGTCAGTGTGGATGCACTGGTAATAAAAAGTGACACCATTGTCAGCTTACAACAATGCATTTCTACCTCAGCTTTGATTTATAGATACCCCGAGGGTGGTATATAAAACACTTTGCACCTGCACTTTTCTTTCTTGTCCTAGTGGCATCAGTTACAGCTCATTACCATACAGATCTCACCTTCTCTTGAAAGGTGACATTATAATATGTGGATTTTTTTCCATGAAAATGAATGATTGCTAAAAAATGGATCAAAGGTGTCAGAATAAGTAGACTGAAATGACATTAAAGGAATCCATTTGTGATAATGTTATCCTGGGAATGAAATTAAAAAAAAGTAAAGGCACAAAATACTCCTGGCTGGTGATTTCTCTTTGAACTGAAGTGGTTAAAATGTGAAATCCTGACAATAAGATGTTTACTTTTGAAATGCAAAGCAAGGGCAGGGCTACCCAACAGCAACATTCACAGATCAATGGAGTTTTTTTTTGAAACTTTAAGATAAATATATTGTCACATGAATGGGGTAAGGTCAAGTTAATGCCTTTTATCGTCATTTCAGACTCGATATATATCTCACATTAAAGCACCTTTCTAAACAATTTATTGTACTCAAGTATGTACTCAAGCATGCATATGTTTGAAATATATATATATATATTGTGTATGCACAATATATATGTGTGTGTGAATTAATATATCTTAAAAGAGTAATTTTTACAGAAGACATGAGAGGACAAAGTTTAAATACAGTGCTACATTCTATAAAGCAGGGACATATTTTTAAAGAAAATCAGATCTTTGGAGCAAAAAAAACAGCTTGGGGAATGGGGGATAGGAATTATGTGGAAATTATGAAATTGATGAATGACTGCCAATTAGCTTCCATAAATGGTTGCTAACTGCTCATTGACCCCATTTACATGCAGTCGATAATGACGAGATTAAATCTAGTCAATAAATATGAAAAATCATTATCCAGGCCCATTTACATGTAGTCAAAAGGCCACTGATTTGTTCAGAGGCTCTTGACACCACGGAAACAGGAGAAATGTCGTGTGTCAGCCTGATTCAGTTGATAGCATTCTCACCTCTGAGTCAGAAGGTTATGGGTTCAAGTCCCATGGAAGGAACTTTCAACTCTCAGCCCAGGCAGACATTCCAGTGCAGCGCTGAATACTTTGGATGAGATGTTAAGCCAAGATTCTGTCTGATTGTTCAGGTGGAGGTTAAAAATTCCCTAATCTAAAAGAGAAGGGAATTTCTCCCATTGTCCAGGCTACAATATCTACCAGATAAAATTGGTTCATGGCTATTTGTGGTACTTTGCTGTGTGTAAAACTGTCTGCCATTTTTGCCTACAAAATATATAGTCCACTACACTTTACAATAAATCCTCTGATGCTCTTTGATCCATCCACCAAACATAAAAAGCGCAATATCAAATGCAAGGATTATTAGTAATAACTGATGCTCCGCTACAGAATACTTTGATCAGTTTGGTCAACAAATTCGACAACTTCTTGCAGCTAGGGAAAAGCAAGGTGCCATTTTACACTGATATTTTTGTTTTCAAGGAGTACAAAGAGTTTAGGAAATTTATCAGTAAGTTCCCAGACTGGGGTCAGCAAAAACAGTGAATAAAACAATAAAACATTGCCGTGACATCTTCAAAGAACTAGTCGCTGGAATAAAATAAAGCAGTTATAACCTGGGGAACTTCAAAGCTGTTGCCTCACAACGACTTATTACAAAACAAATAAACCCAATTTGTTTATTTATCTCACACATTACAATGGGGTAGTATTCCAGAAAACTGACTGTACTTGAGGAAAGATGTGTGGACAGTGATCCCATATAATTTTTTGTGCCAGAATATTTAACGTATGCAATGTTAGTCTCTGGCAGGGTCTAAACTAAATGGGAAATACAAGTGCATACATGTTAGTGGGAGGAGTTGGACCTGTGAGCAGAAGTCATTCAAGACTGAGTTCCTTCTGAAGGCGGTATCTCGAGATGCAGCAGCAACATGTTCCTGGAGTGAGCAGAGGTGTGAGGGAGCAAGCCCATGCACCTGCACCTCTTCCTCCTACCCCTAGACTGTGGAGACAAACCATCTAGCTCCCACTCTCTTTCCCTCTCACACAGTTATCAGATGCACTGAGAAATCAGCAGTTTGGAGGTAGGAACACACAGCATGGTTAACTTATAGCATCACATTGCTGGGGATATAAATACATTTTATTTTAACACAAATAGTTTTGATACCTTACCATTGTCCCTAGTCTTTTCTTTGTTCTATTTGTTCACATTTTCTACAAAGATATAATTTTCCAAAGTTCTGTTGAATTCACGAGCAACACACAACGCAATATGGTTCACTTCCAGTGCATCTGCTTCGGCACTGGTGAGGTTTAACACCAGCTGCCTGTTATGATAAAGAGCAAACTCCCTAATGTAAGAAGTATCAAGCAATTTTAAAACATCACTTTTGGGGCAATTTGACCCCTCTATGTCTTGTTAGATGTGCTGTACTGAAATTTACCCCCATTGCACTCTCTGTAGGACCTGATATGCCCAAACAAATTGCTTTTTATATTGAATAAAAGTAATTAAATATTTCCAAGTATGCAATCAAAATCAAAGAGTTGAAATTGGTTTAGATTGGAAATTAGACTCTGAATCAATGCGTATACATTGTGTAAACGTGCAGATAACATCAGCCTTGCCTAAACCTTGCCTAATCCTGTTTTGATGTGGCCCAGCTGGAAGGCTGCATGCTTGAATAACAAACTGAAGCTAAGCAAAATGTATATCGCAGCAAATAGATTTATAGCCATTGCTGTCAAGTACCTTGTATTGTCCTTTCAGCATCTGTTCGTCCAGCACTACGGTCAGCTTCCACCTCTTGGGTCACAGAATCTAACAATGGGGAGAGATTGGAGTATTGATTGCATTTCTCAAATGTGCGATTTGTTATGCAAAATATGTTTTAATTCTGTTTTACATTTTGACAAGGTCAGGCTTTTTACCAGTGAATTATGCCATGCTATCGGCATTTTAATCAGCCAGTTTAACAATTTGAATACAAAGTAAATAGACTGCTGCAGTAGCAGTATTTGTGGCACCCTGCCAACTGTGAGAGCCCACATGATTTCATTAGACTCAGTCGCAGGTCATTTGTGGGTACTTACCGTTCAGCACCCGGAGGTTGTCCGTAGAGGCAGCCTGTTTCAATGTCTGCTCTGCTTGTTCTCGCCGCTTGGTCTCAAATTCAAGTGCTTCCTGCAATTTCCTTTTTGCCTTCTTCTCCTTCTTTAACCGTTTCTGAATTATTGCTGAAGAGTGATAGAGTGGCAGGTTAGGCTGTGCTGTCTAGCCTGTTAGTGTAATTTTAGCAGGAGACCACAAGAATTGCCACTACACTGTTTTGAGTTTTATTGCTTTTCTCTGTGTCAGAAGCAGATGTATGGCCACTGTGAGGCTTCTGTCTTGTAATCACTTACCTCTGTTTTTTTGCTCCACAGCCAACTGCTTCTCCAAGCTTTCCCTCAGCTCCCGCTCCCTGAATAATTCCAACTTTAACTCTGTCTTCTCGAGTTGCACCTGCTTCTCCTGGGCTCTGGCATTGTCAATGGCAACCTTCAGCAGCCCCTGTTCACACCAAACACACCAGCTTTATCAGAAAACAGCTTCAGCAAATCATTCCAGCTGTCTGGGCTGGAAACCAAGGTTCAAGGCACCAAAAGCAGACAAGATGAGGGTCTCTATTCACTGACAGCTGCTTGCAGCAAGAGAAATAAGTTCTAGCATTTTTAATACGTTTCCATGTGGATTTGTGTCCACTGCATAAAGGTAGCTTTCAATTTTCAATTCCAGCATCACTTTTGCAGCTTTAATTTCAATAGAAATTTGAATAAAAATTAAGAATTACTACACTTTGTGTAATAAGAGTCCCACCTGTTTTTTTCAGTGTCAGAAAAACACTGGGAATTGATGCCTACTTGATTTACATATCTCAAGTTCGGATTTAAAGTGGGAAACTGGTTATATCATTCCACAACAAATGGATTTCAAAATTATCCATCATCGATGAAATACAACAACCAAGAATTTTTGTTCTTTTATTACATCTTCCTTCCTACCTCACAGTGTTAACTTCCTGCAGTTGAATGGCAACAAGACCGAGGCCCTCCTGCTTGGCTCCCGTCAGCGTCTCCATACCTCAGACGCTGACAGCATCTCCCTCCATGGATGCCCTCAACATCTCACAGAGCCAATACAGAACCTCGGCATCCTGTTCGACCCTCAGCTGTCCTTTATATCCCAATTCCATGCCATGACTCGCTCCGCCTTTCCCTACCTATGCAACATCACCCCAGCTTCGCCACTGTCTCACACCACATGCCGCCGAGACCCTCATACATGCATTCTTTACTGCAGCCTGTGTCCTCTCCCGCACCAGTCTCCTGGTCCTCACTTTCAAAGCCCTGCATGGCCTTGCTCCCCCTACCTCTGTGACCTGTCCGCTCCCTCCGCTCAGCGGGCTGTGGCTGCTCAGCATCACCCACCTTGCCCATCCCACCATTGGCAGGTGAGCCTTCAGACACTCTGCCCCCACCCTTTGGAACTCCATCTCGCAGTCCCTCCGCTTCGTCCTCTCCCTTGCCTCCTTCATGCCCCATCTCAAGACCCTCCTCTCCGACTGTGCCTCTGTCACCCTCCTTCCCATCCTGCCCTCCACCTTCCCTGATCCCGACCCCCAGCTCGGGTCAGAAACACTGATTGTCCAGCACCTTGGGACGTCCTCCTGATGTGAAAGGCGCTTTACAAATGCAATTTTGTTGTTGCTGTAGTTCATCCAAAAGAAATATAATCTAGTCTAATTTGACAAGTGAGAAAGATAGAATTCATAATTTTTTGAACCAGGGCCAGATAGGCTATAATTTGTCTTTTCTAGTTCCAATTTAATCGTCCTTCCCATTGGAATTATATGCTGGCCATGCACTGCCAATCTATATCCATGTACCGTTTTGTAATGGACTCCACATCAATGACTATACAAGAATATATCTGCAACCTGTCGGCTGTTTCGGGACTCACCTGAATATTTGTCAGAAGAGTTTCTATGGAGGAAAGTCCATCAGGGAAGAGGAGAGGAGTTGGGAAACCTGGCGGTAACTGCTGTCCTGCCAGGGATAGCTTCTCAAAGCTGTCTCTTGCAGTCGGAGTTGAGATTGGAATATCATCTGTGGATGACAAAAATAGGCCAGGGTATCAAATGCTTTTTCCTTTTTATTCAGCACTATATTTACAATATCGTCAGTGGCTTCAAGACTGTTCAAGATTCCTGTTTGGGTTTGAAGACAAAAACCTCTCTTCGATGGTTCTTGTACCAAAAACAAAATAAAAAATGATTCTTTAAGTTATTTTCACATTGTCCCAGATCTAATCAGCAACATCAAAATAATTCATTATTCTCCCCCATTTAACTATGGCTGATGTTTTCTCAAACAATTTCTTTTTGGCATTCACATTTATTTACTAACCAGAGAATAATTAATTCAAATATGTCTTGACAGCATAAAGAAATCCTAATGACTAAAATTTGCCGCAAACAAACTGTGCAGATTATTCAGCAACTTGATTCCATGCTTTGTCAGCCCCAATGCATGCAAGCAGTCATTTTTTAGACAGAGCTATATTATTGTGTGTGTGTGTGTGTGTGTGTGTGTGTGTGCGTGTGGATGTGTTGGGGAGGGGGAGAGGAAGGAAAAGGAGGGGAAGAGGGGATATTTTACCCAACTCGGTCTATGTCACGAGACAGTTGTCGGGCAACCTTCTAAAGCTAAGCTGATCTGACTGAGCACAGATGAGAAGTCAACTATAATAACTTTAATTTATGAAATCATGATGAAATATTTTAAGTAAAGAATACTGCTAATGAAGTGGGGTGCTTTTGGCTGGTAATTTCTGCAACAAGCTGGTCACCAGTCCACAGCTGCATTGAGTTGAGATACCAAATTTAACTGACATGAAAATTCAATTCTTATTTCCCTCACTGGATTATTTTTCTACTGAGTACTGCTGGAGTGTTCTGTTCTGCCTAAAAGGGCAATGCAACAAATTCAGCCACTTGTTGTGTTCTGACTTTGTTGTTGATGGAAGCATAGATGATAATGTGTTACAGCCTCTCAGGAAATAGAGTTCGATCTTCATTAAAATAAATCATCAGTCGCGACTCTTTGGACCCAGCTACTATGAAATATGGAGATCGATTTTGTTGTATTTCTTAGCAGATTTTTTAATTAAGAAAGCTGAAATTCCATGCTGCTGACTCGCAGGAATGCTGTTCCAATTTAATCTCTATTTAGAACTGGATTTCCTCAAGTAAGAGTGGCATGTGTAACATGGCTCCAGTTATTGGAAGGAATCCTCACTCAGGTATTTATCTCCCATCCTTATGCACAAATTGGCCACTGCATTCGCCTACAAATACACAATCACTACATTTCACAGTAAAATTCTGTGAATGGCTTTGAGAGGTTTTGATAATGTGACAAGGCACTACATCAAAAGCAAGGATAGAACCATAGTGCCAGAAGGCAGCCATTCGGCCCATCATGTCTGTGCTGGCCCTTTCAGTCCAATTTACTTGCCCTTTCTCAATACACCTGTAGTTTAATAGAATCCGATTATTATTTATTAATAAAAAACTGTTAAGAAATACCACAAAATTTGCCACAAAGATGTGGATTTCTATGGGAAGCATCTGTTATACAATATGTAAAACTGGTGAACATTTAGTTCAGTTGAACCAACAAACTTCACTTCTTCAACCCTGACAATTTATGCCAAGAACTATTAAACAGGAAATCAAAAGCAGAAAAAACAATAATATTGTGCTGAAAGGGAAATGCTGTTCGCTTCAAGTAGGTTTATGATTACTTTTATCCTGCCTCTCAGCCTCTGAAGATATATAGCCTTCTAAGTTTGTTCTTCACACACTGTAAACATGCTTCAAACTCAGTAAGTCTTCTGTCTTTAGACTAACAGACTCACAAAGCACTTAGTGACATCGGTTTGAATGCAATTTATTTCATATTGCAGAATTGAAAAATACTTTTAAACAAAAGAACCACACCGTGTAAGTTTTATCTCTTCAACAGGGTTATAAATCAATTGAACATGGAGGAAAAGATGAATAAGCATTGTATTCATTTATAATAAATAAGACATGAATAGGTACATATAAACTCAGTTATACTTTGGTACAAATATAACAATATATTATTGATACTTACATAAAATAATTAATGAAACAAACGTCTTTGTCTATCTTGAGCATATTATTTTACAGTGTTCTTGTGCACTATTAGTTAAATGCAATGTGAAAATGTCAGTCGTATAAATGATTGATGTTACCCTTTAACAGACTAGCTAACTTTGATTATTCATCTTTTATGTGGCTATCATCACTTCTGGGGAAGAGCAGTGAATCTGACTCACCTACTTTACTTTGAAGAACCTTTCTGTGCTTTTTTTAAAAAAAACTCCTCATTCAATGTATTATTCATATGATTGTGTATATTCTGTTTGAGAATCACCAGCGTGCAGATGTGTTTATAGCTACTAGTACCAGCTTACTCCACCCAGCCCATATGGTAAGCTTAGTTTGGTCCAAGCCCTACCTTTTTTTTCACCCACCCATATGGCAAGCTAAAGCTGGCCAGGGCCCCGCTTCCTCCACTAGGGCCATATGGTACAATCAGCTCAGCGAGCACTCATTTACCTTATATTAATATGTTATCTTCCACAGACAGTAAGTCTCATGTTCAAGGACTGAACCTGTCTTCCCAAACTGATTAAGACAGTAAAAATCTGTTCTGAAACACCAAATTATCCGGACATTGAGTTGACGCAGCTTTTTTTGTTTGCTTCAAAAACAATAATTCCGTCCATGTTCTATTTTTTTTATTTTGAAACTTTCCAAATGAAATCAAAACAAAGTTTTATTTGTTGGCACAAACAACTGCAACTAGAAACTTTAAGCCAGGAATATCTTTTATTATTATTTACTTTTCTGCAATATTTAATCTCAAAATGTATACATCAGTCTGAATATGTAAATATATAAACAATATTAGAAAAACAAGCTGGGCTCTTTTATTGTGCACTGATCGGAAGCAACAAATGGCGTAGAATCCACAAGCAATTTCCATTTCACAATGAACACTTTAGCTCTCTTTAAAAAACAGTGATGAACATTCCTGAATAAATGTAATTAATTTAAACTATTCGATCTAATGAATGTGTTATAATTTATGCATACTTTTTTATTTTTAGATTAGATGTCATGTATCAGAAAAGAGACATGTGAAATGTCATTAATGGGCTGGGAATGCAGTGCAGTGCAGCCCTGCTACATCAAAAATTTGGTTACAACAAAGTTTTATTCTGGACCCCTTTTGCAGCGGATACAAGCAGCTGACCTGCTTACTTCCTATGCACTGCTGTCTTCCGTACATGATGTGATGATTATCATTGGTGAGCATGATCATATCATGAAAAAGTACAGTCTAAACTAGTCTTTAATTATCAACTGTTTTCAGGCATAAGTCAAGGCAAGCTGTAACAAAGACAAAGAGGAGGGAGGGGGCAATTTGAAAGGACTTTAAGGTTGGATTTCCAGAGAGCGGGGGCAGAATGGCTGAAAGCTCATCTGCCGACTCATGTGAACCCAGCTCCAACGCAACCTACTTCTGGAGCTGAGTTCCCGTGGGTGGTCAGGAATTTTAATGCAAGGCATCCCTTTTAAGAAATTCCATAAATTAGCACTATTGGTTCTGAAATTCAGTGCTTGATATTTAAATTGCTACTAAGCAGAGCAACTTTAGACAGCATTTGCTTAATCACCCTTAATCAGTGCTAAATAGCTCTATGTCAGATTAAAGTGTGAAATAACAAAAACAAGTGAAAAAGAAGCATTTGCACATTGGATGCCCAGATATAAACACTCCAGTCCCCTTGTCAGAAAGTGCTAGATAAATCCATGAGAGGCAAAGAGGTTAAACCGTGACATGGAGAAATACAAATAGCATGTTTTAGCCCCTGAGCAAAATGTCAGAGGAGTTCAGAATTAAAAACTGCCAAATTTCAGAGGTCAAACATTTCTTTTTGAATCTATTCCTCCTGTAACACTCAGCAATAGCATCATAACCCGACCCTATGCACAGTAGTCCGTCCATCTGCCATCTGCTGTGCCAGCAATACTCACTGATCACAGAAAGGTCCGTAAGGTAACAGTCTGCACAGAGACAATTGATTCTTAAATTACATTCTAAAGCCTCAACTATTACATTTAAGTTGCAATGCAAACCAAATTATACAGGAAACACTACAGCTCCCCATTTACTGATGTCTGCCAAACGGTGGTAACAGCTGGTGCCACGTTAATTAGTTTATACTATTTATTCTGTGTATTTCCACAGCAGATTGAAGGAAAACATTGGAGATAATCCCAGCATCTGTACATACACTACAAACATTTAAGTTACCAGTGCGAGAATATCAGTCATAGACTAATATGGGATTTAATGGGTGAGAACACATCCTCTTAAGAGTCAAAAGAAAACAATGAGCCACTGAGATCATTAAAACAGCCAATAACTTGATTGGAATACCCTTTATGATTGCAATGCCATTTTGAAATTACACTTTGTATTAAGTATTCTCCTACTTATTAAGCAGGACTCCTTTGCTGCCCAGAAATGTATCTTTTAGTGTTTGCCTCCAAAATACAGTCACTACACTTAACAGTACATCCTGTGAACCGCTCTGAGACGTCCCCCTAATGTGAAAGGTACACTGGATCAAGTGCAAGGATTATTTTTTCTTATAAAGAGGTAGCGTGACTGGTCCCTTAACTTCATAAAAAGGGCCTCACAGTGTAAACTGGAAGCTGCTAGCTCAGAAGGGAGATCAATGGGAGCCGGAGTTTTATAACTCGGTCTGACATACATGTGGTTCTCCGATGAGATACACTTTACATCAAAAAGCACATTTTACGGCAGTGCAATACTTACCCCAGGAGTGTGCTTATAATCACATTCAAACAACTCAGTCTGTTCCTATAAGGTTTCATTGTTGTCCTGCTTGTAAGCACAATCTCTCCAATTTGTATCATTAGGGCTTTAAAGCCTCCTAGGCTTGCACAATATTTGTTGATGACTAGCTTTTTGTCAATTTA